AAGGTTAATTATCCTGAATTACAATTCACACCGAAATCGTCGTACATTTCAAGTTATCTTACTGAAAAAAAGTTTTGAATAAGGTTCGCGTGGCGGTATCAATGTGAAGTAAACTTCTCACGCAGTAATATTCCAATGACTTTACCACTTTGAAGAATATCTGTTTTTGTGTAGAGATCGAATTTGTATATGATTAACTGAGATGCTTTTGAAAATCTATCTTCATGCTGAGAGTCGTGAATGACTTAATTATATTAAAAGAAAGAGCCAAAAGCTCTTTTGCTTTCTGTTATAAATTAGATTTTTTCCTCCACTAGTTATAGCATCGTAAAGGTGATTTGTTTTTCCTAAAAATTTTCTTTTAACCGACAGACATTTAGTGGATTTGAATGCTAATTTATTAATTTGCACACCAAGTGATTAATCGGCACCTGCATTCCTTTCTCAAGAATGAAATGATTCCCACATTGGTTGAGGAGGTTATATGTTGAAATGCCTTATCACTAGACGGTGTAGTAAAGAGTATTTTAAACATTGGTTTTTGTAGGGATGTTTTTTCATTGGTTGGAGGGTTTTATCATGAGCTGGCATCAAATAGAAAACCATTGGAAAACCAGCTGGAAGTCCTGGACAGCCAGCTGTTCCATGAGACCAGTTTAGGACTCTTCATTAGTGCACACTCACCTACAGGGTTCGAAACCAGAACCTTCTGGTTACAAGGCGAGCTACCTCGGAGACCATTAAGTCACTGGAATCCGATCCAGTGGCTAATTAATGGTCCAGGAGGTCGCTATGTAACGAGAAGGGCCTGGGTTAGACCACCCTTGGTGTGGTTGCGCACTGCCGAAGAGTCCCAAACTTGTCCAACGTAACAGCTGTCCAGCACTCCCAGCTGGCTTTCCAATTGTTCTCTACTTGATGTCAGCTCATCATCAAATCCTGCGGCTAAGAAAATCTATTTGCCCAAATAAAATGAGTTGTTCTAGTCTTTTTTCCATTCTCTGAGAATTATCTGCTCATGTAAACTTTGAAGAAATTAGCAACCTTTCTTACAAACAAAACCTACTGAAGTGTGAATAAGGTTTTCTGTTCACACTTATCTATTCAAGTGGAATTAGAACATCATAATGAAATAGTGATGTGAAGTTTTATTCCCACATCACTCTAATATTATTGTACAAGATAATGTAAGAGTGAGTTATAAATGTACGCAGTAGGGTTGGAAGTTTATTTGAACGTAGATGGAAAAATACTATGTCCAGTATAACCCTAACTATCACATTAACTAATTCTTCATTATTTTGTAAAGATTCTCAGTCGATTTATTCGAGTATGTTACATTTATGAATTTTTCTCACGCATTTTCATAATGAGTGCTGCTCATACCTGAGACGAAAAACACGTCTTTTTGAGTTTGTCTTCATAGCATATGAAAATGATCTCATCTGGAAATTTAGAGAGAAACAACTAAGTGTGCAAAGAAAAATATCCCCTCTCACCAGTTGAAAGAGAATAAATTTCATTCCTCAATTTATCAATTTTCAAAACATTTCATATCAAATGTTAGTTTACGGGGATTTAACTGATTTCTGGTTTGATCGCGTAATCACTCTAGTTGGGGAAGCACTAAACACTGGAGCTTACTGGATAGCTGTTTTTTTTCTTGTTTGCGGCTTTTCAACAGTATAACACAAAAGTCCTCACCAGTAATCGAGCCCAAGACATTCATGTTACAAAGCCAGCTTGTTGTTCAATAAGCTATTGGGATGCCATTTAATGGCCCATGAATTCTAACTTCCGTGGATCTGAAAGATATCCAGTATCTTTCCTCACATTCAACCTGATAGAGTCCACTCTTCTCAACTTCTCACTAGAACTTCAGACAACCCTTTCTCAGAGGTCAGTTACTAATGAATATGAGATTATTTTGCGATTAGTGGATTTCTCGTCACTCTGATGATATTTCCAGTTACTTAAACTTTGTGACTTTTTGGTCATTTTTCTCAGCATCTTCAGTGCTCATTTTGACTGCCACTTTAGTTTCTACTTGCATCAGTGTATTCCATCTACATCTTGATGTATATGCACAGATTCTGAGACAGAACGACAGGAAAGATGATAACTATTCACTGGACAAAACATGAATTATTTACTGCAATTTTGCTAAGACTTCTACATTTACAACGCTTTATATATATATATATATATATAGTTTTTACATCCACAAAAGATTCAGTGCTTTCCAGCTGACTGAGAGCAATACTTTAAAGACGAGTACAATATGGTCAAAAAATGTGCAAGGGAAATGGAGACTGAGCGGGCATACGCAGTGGATACCACCAAATGAGGTCGAGCAGCAGACCATTACTCGAGTGGAATCCGGACGGGAAATGACGAGTGGGTCGTCCGAGGGTTACATGGAGGAGATAGTGAAAGGAGGAGATTAGCCCAGTTGAAGAGAAAAGCAGGAAATAGAACAAAGTACAGGTGTTTTGTTGAAGCCCTTGGGTTCCACTCGGAACCCAAAAGAATAGTAATAATGAAACAACATGGTATGCAGACATCCAACCTCTGAAATAGGGAATTCTTGTAACTTGTGGTATTGAATTATCATGTGTGACGTAATATTTTGAGAAGTGAAGAAAACATGTGGTTTAATAAAAAGAAGCTTTTCGACTTTTTTTTACTAAATTCAAGTGTTGGTTTGTTGGTTTTTTTACTAAAGCCCTACAATCCCACTCATATAAAAATCGTTGCATGAGAATGTCCAGTAGCTGCCATGCCTAAATTGCATCAACATTAGTAGCCAGTGTCAATCAGAATCACGTGAAAATACAGTGAAGGCGAATAATTACACTCTACAACAAAATGCTTAAGTAAATAAAATCGATATGTACATGTCTTCACGGAATGATAACATTTGGAGAATAAGGGAAAATCAAGAGGTATCGAAAAGCTATTTCCTGTTATTTTGCACCTCTTTAGTGGTGTGTATCCACGACCACACTAGCAAACCTGATATCAGGTTTGATTGCAGAAGGAGTGATGCAAAGAATCGAAAACACAATTCTACCAAAGATCAAAACCAAGATTTGGATACGCTACGTCGACGACACATTTGTAATCATCAAAAGAAACGAATTAGATAAAACTCATAACTTAATAAACAACGTCTTCAACGACATCAAATTCACAAGAGAAGAGGAATCCGAGAACAAAATACCATTTTTGGACGTCTTAGTCAGGCGAACAACTACAGGAGAATTAGAAACTCAAGTTTATAGGAAATCAACTCACACAGACCAAATACTGAATTACTTATTTTATTTTTTTTTTTTTTTTTTTCTTTTAGATTTGGCCAATTTGCCGCGGGACCCGCCCACAACAGCAACAACCCAATAGCACACAAAAGGAATTGCATAAAAACACTATTCAAGAGAGCAAGGACTCACTGCAGCACTCCCACCTTAGGGAAAATTGAAGAGAAGTATCTCATGGACGTCTTCCAAAAGAATGGATATTCACGAAATTTCATCAAGAGACATATACCTCCAAGCCAACCTACCAAAGCAAAAGCCGCCAAGGAAAGCACAAAGAAAATCGCCTTACCATATATAAAGGATATCTCAGAAATCACTACAAGACTCTTCAAACCTTTAGGAATTGATGTCGTACACAAACCAACAAAGTCACTTCACTCAATTATATGTCAACCGAAAGACTCAACAGCGAACGAAGACAAAACCAACATCATCTACAAAATAAACTGTAACAACTCCGAAAAACACTACATTGGCCAAAATTGACGTCATCTTCGTCTTCGTTTCCACGAACATAAGCTAGCCGTCAAAAGATATGATATCCACTCCCTCATTTCACTACACACAGACAACCACGGACATCAATTTGACTGGGACAACCAGCGTTCAAATATTACACAGAGGAAACACCAAGAATGCTAGAGAACTTTTAGAAGCTTGGCATTCCAGTAAATCATCAATCAGTAGACACATCAAGATAGACAAAATTTATCAACCAATAAGAAAGAAACTTCACACACAAAGGGTCAAAGTTCAAGTCACAGAAACAATCAGTTCCAATACAAGTAACCTAGAAGGTGTGAAAACACACATAAACAACCAATCACGTCCAAGGTCACCAGAGGAGATGATTAATAAACTCGTGGAGAAATCTAAAAGCTCACTTCACATTGAAGTATGCGCTGAAGATGTCACCCAGTAGGGTGATGAAAGCTACGCAAACTAACCATCCAGCTCAGAGAACAAATCCACATCAAAATCATCCACCTGAGCTACAGATCTTCCCTATCATATCTCATTCTATCAGTGACCATTGCCAAAGGTTCTTGAACTAGGATGAAGTAGCTGTTCATTTTCGGTCGATTTTCAGTGGTTCTCTGACTCACTTTCGACCCTCGCAAAAGCGAAGTTAGAATCGTTTAAATTCCTTGCAGACATAAGTCTAAGTGAACAGTTGTTTTCAAAACTGGCACGGAAACAGACAACAGAAGAATTGAGGCAGGCAAAAGATGCAGAAGGACGGTTGCGTCTGCTTACGAAAATATTCACCGTCCTTATACGTCCGTAAATATATACATCTGACCAGGAAGACCTTAGCAGATGAATTGGCTTATAGAATAACAAGACTATAAGCTCAACCACGGATTGATATCATTTAGACAGCCATTGAAAACTAAGGGGTACTGCACAGCTATTTCGTCCTTGTTGTGAACTCAATTACCCTAGTTCTTCCAGGTTTATGATGGTTCTCTAACTGGCATCAATTCGTGATCTTACCTGGAACCAATCAGATATCTGAACACTTAAAAACAGGGTCAATTAAAGCCAAGGACTGATATTTTGTGATTCTATACGTGGCTTTTCTTCAAAAACTAAGTCGATCGATTTTAAGGTCAGTCTTCAATAAAAAAAAAACTCGATAAAAATGGAAACATTTGATATAGCAAAATATCAACTTACCTAGATACTAGTTTGAATCAACTTCATTTGAATACATAAAGGCATGTTATTGTTTTAATTCATGTTGCCAAATATATTTTTATTCCTAGTTTCCATTAGAAGCTTAAAGTTGTGTAATCCATATTACTACATATAATAATTGTGAGGTAAGTTTTATAGGTTAGTTGTTGTATAGCATCCACTTATATGCATGCTCGTGTTGAGACGTCTTTTTCTAAACTCTAAATATATATATATATATATATATATAAAATATATACATTTATATTCAGATGTAGGAAAATAGTGACAGGACATTCTATCTTGTGATTGGTTGAAATATTCTTTCCCTAAGAGAATAAGAGAAATTGTATCCTTTCGACTTTTGCGTTGATGACTTCTATTGTAAAGCGTGTCTGTGAGTTTTATGAATGATTCTATTTCTTTGGATGTACGTATGTATGCATGTATGTATGTATGTATGCATGCGTGCGTGCGTGCATACCTGCATTTGTTCATATGACTACAAACTAAAGACTGATTTGACTATTCAAAACTGCCCAAATGCCCCTTCTTGATTGCATCAAATTTTCGAAAGAAGTTTAGAAAAAAATTGAAACATTTTCGGTTTACAGTGAAAAAAGTTTGATTGCCACGAAATATTGTTTATCGAGTATATGGTTAAGAAAAATACTAAAGTATTTTAATTATTGTGGAAAATGGCGGCTAAAATCAGATTTCAAATGGATTATTCAAACATATTTAGGCGTTGACAAAATATCACTTTATTACTAGTATTGTTCTGGAAGATTCCAGCTGTAGCATAGGTCTTCAGCAACACATCACCATTTCATCTTGTTTCCTGTAACTGTCCTTAGCTGTCTTTATAAGTGCGCGTCAGCCGTCACCTCTTTACACGACCTCCTACATGTTACCGTCAAGCCGACGCTTAAACTGTTGTTTCCCACTTTGAGTTGCATCAGAGAACCTGGCATGCGACGTTATCAAATTGTCTTCTTAGCGTGTGTCCATTCCATTTCCATTTTATTTTTCATATTTGTTGGGTAATGGCTTCTTGCCTAGTTCCCCATTAGAGTTGCATGCCACTAACAAGCTACCCAGTCTTCAGCAACGACCTAAGGTAGCTATTGATAAAAGTCTTCATCCTGTTGGAAGCGTTTTTGATCACGGGTGGGCAAAGTCTTTGAACCATATAGAAGTACTAGCTGACATAATACTAGTGCTAAAAACCCTTTATCTTACACTGATTGCAGCAGATTTTCACACCAATTTCAGAGTGATGAATGCATTTCTTACCTTTCTAATCTTGGCTGGCTTCGATATCCTCAGCTGTGTCGCTTGCAGTTGAAAAGATGACGGGAAAGGTGAAAAAGTGACTTCATTCAGATTGTTGCTTCTTGCTATTGCTTCAGGGATTTAACCGTTTGAAACCAATATAACTCAATGTTTTCAAATATTGGTTTTGTAGAGATTTCGTTTGATTGGTTGGAGGATTTTATAACTAGCGACTAGTCCTATTCAGGTAATTAGTCACCTGGGGTTCCAGTGGGGAACCGTGACCAGTAAGGCACAGCAGATTGAATATGAGGCAGTAATTTATCGAAGAGGACACTAAGAAGTGGTCGCGCTATGTCATGTATTGGCAGCAGTTAGGATTCATGAGCTAGTCATTGGATTGGGTCCCACTGGCTTAGTGGTCCACGAGCTCGCCTTGTAACCAAAAGGCCCTGGGTTCGAACTCTGGTGGTGGGGTCTCAAACTAGACTGACGAAACAGCTGGCCGTCCCGTACTCCCGGTTGGTTTTCCAGTGGTTCTCTATTTGATGTCAGCTGATGATGAAATCCTCCAAACAATGACTGGATGTTTCACTTCTCATAAATACTTGTGAACTGAATGATTTTGGAGCCAAAATGGATAGGGCAGTCAATTTTATACAACATTAGGCATCAAATACTTGCTATTATGTTGAAATTCTAAATGATTCCCATCAGCCAGAGTGTAGTAGAAGAATATCTGCTTTTTAATTTTCAGCTCACGAAGGTGACACATGAACAAACATTCGTTTATGCGTAAGTAGTAATTAAATATTTTAATTATATTTTCAATGCTGAGTCAGATATTTTTCTTTTCAGTCACAAATTATTATTTTAAATTATTACTTTGAATTTTTAACTGATTACTGATTACAGTGAACCGAATTGCTGCATTCCCATTGACATGTTGACTGTTTGTACTGACTTTTTGACAATGCCTCAAGGGGATAGAAGTGCTACTGGTTAAATCATGTCGAATTAAAACAAAATTAGTGTTATGGATTCCAGTGCTAGCCATTACCAACCACTTAATAGCACTATTTTCCCTTGCATTGTATTTATTCCTACAGAAGCCACTATCTTTATGCGTTTTACAGAAATACTAAGAGTTGTTCTGAGTTCTCATTGGCACATTGCATTTAATTCGTGTACTGATCAGATAATGGTTTCCCCTGAGAACGAACCGACCAAGAACCTGTTCCTCAAAACATATTATGAAGAAAGCGTAGATGGATCGGAAACACACTGAGAAGAACGTTGGACGACATCGTGCACCAGGCCCTCAAGCGGAACCAGTATGAGGAACAACTAGTTTGACAATGGTCCAAGGAGTTCATGTAAAGAGGAGATGAGAGACTATGGGCAATCATGCAGCCACCTGAAGAGGACTACAGAGAACGGTAATGAGTGGAGATGTACTCCCTAAGTCCTGCGTTCTACTTGGAACCCAAGGGACCAGTAACAATAATAATACTGCATTTTGAGGTAGTGCTGCTACGCTAAAACTTAAGCCTGTTTTGTACTAGGCAAATGTCAAATGAAAATAGCAATAACCTATTCTGTTACAAACAGAAGGACATCCTCTCCAGTTATTGTTTAAACTGCATCAAAGGTTTCTTCCGATAAGAGTACCTACCACAGTAAAGAAAAATATACATTTGTGCTTGAATAAAATGTCTGTAGAAGCATCGCCAAATAAGGAGTTGACAATGATAATCCACATGTAACAGTATGCTCTGGGCTGCAAATTCATCTATACGAAATACTCTGTAACTCTGTTCAGAAGTTACTACAGTCACCTAACTAAAACTTTATACGCGATATCCAACTAGAAAAAGGATTCCCACTTATATTTATTAACGGAAAAAATGAGCGAAAACCTTCATCATTGAAGTTTTTCAACTATTCCAAGGAAAACTCTCTTCGTGAACATAGTGTTCAAAAGGTAACATTGTTAGAAACCAACTTTCCAAATCTTTGAAGGTATTCCATACAGCCATCATCCGAAATACATTTTCCAGCAAGCAGTTAACCCAGTCATGCTTAACCGATAAGACACCGTTTTCGACCACCTCATGATGTATTTATCAATTTAATTGATCGTGTGGAGCAAAGTTTATCGGCTGTACAGAGCAGTTAGTCCACAAAACGTAATCTGGAACACTTATGAGCATGACTTACCAGAGGGAGAAAAAGGAATACAAGTTGTTCTCGTCCTCGAACACCTTATCGAAAATGGACATCGGGCACCCCTTCATGACTACCTCAAGGTGAATCACGGAAATCTTTAATATCGTACTAAAGGACTTTGAATACGCTATCTTTACATATAGCCGTATCACTGGGTATTCAGGACTGGATCTCTGTTTTCGAAAGCATTATATGAACTCAATTCACTCACCTCGAGCAGAGTTACATTTCTGACATTATTTTATTCCATTTTGGTGTTTAAATTTATTACTATCATCACTATTATTGTTTATTAATAAAATTGCATTTCTCACACAGATTCCAGTTCAACCTTTTTACCGTATTTCCAATACCTTTTGTTCCTTTTTATCCCTGCAGATGGATTAATCATTTTTCACAATTAACACGTAACTTGAACTTCCGTTTTCTGGACTCCACTTAGTCATCCCTTTTTAGATTGCACTTCACTTCACATAATACCTTCTTTACAACACAGTTCCCATACATTTGATTGGCTTTATGAATTCTTTGTTCAATACAAATGTAATTGTACAGCTGTTGAAAATGATTTGTCAAAGAGAAAATTTTTATTTTTTCTTCTTTTCCTTATGATTCAATATGGGAATTTCCTGTTCAAAAAAAGTGATTTTCTTCTACGAATGGAAGAACAAAGACTCACCTTCCGTGTGATGAATATCGTGTTCCAAAATGTATGGTGTTTTTGCCCATTCTACTGTTGAGATTTCATTTTTAAGATATTGTAGGTGATTCACACTACCTGAGGGCTATTTCTTTTCACTCTATTTGACTGGCACAGCAATTATGTTTTAAATTCTTCGGTTTTTAATACTACCAATTTTTAAAGATTAGTTTGAACAAACAAAAAGAATGAACGTATTTGGCAGATAGTAAGAGTTTGTTTTCGTGAATCCATGGCTACATCTTTTATTTAGTAGTGTCATATGTTTATAGGACTTGATGAGCACACCAACGTGCATACACACACCATCTGTCATTTCTAATATCTGTCAGCGATGTCACTTGAATTTAAGTCAACCAAAAATTTATTTTCACTGTATCCGCATGTCCCACATGACATCTGAGCAGCATTCCTTGTTTTTTATGCTAGCGGAAGTTTTCTCTTCTTTTTGTTTTCCTAATAAACGCACCTTTCATTCGAATAAGATGACAAGTGTGATAATGTCATTTTATATTTACTTGCGTTTGTTTGTGATAACACATTTACTCTTGTTCGTTGATAGTAGCCGCTAAAGTATTATTGAGGAATTTGGATGTCATTTTCAAATATATTTGGGTAAACACTTTTAAATGTCCAGAATATGGAAGAAGGGAAATATATAATTATCTCACTTTCAATCAAACCCCTACAAACCAACACTTGAATATCAATGAGATGCTCTCTAGCGACTTATCCTATTCAGGTAGGTATTTACATGGGGTTTTAGTGACCAGTAGGATGCAGCAGATCTGGTGTAAGGACAAATGCTGGCCGAAGACATTGGCTAGCGGTTGCGCTATGTCGTTAATCAACAGAAGCTAGAATTCACGTGCCGGTCATCGGATCGGGTCTCATTGGCTTAATGGTCTACGAGCTCGCCTTGTAACCAGAAGATCCTGAGTTAGAATCGTGGTGGGGGCGTACTGATGAAGAGTCCCAAACTAGGACGAAAAAGCTGTCCAGTACTC